CCAGAGCCCTGGGCACTGCAGGAGCCTCAGCTCCATCTCCCTGGGCACTGCAGGAGCTCAGCTCCATCTCCCAGAGCCCTGGGCACTGCAGGAGCTCAGCTCCATCTCCCTGGGCACTGCAGGAGCCTCAGCTCCATCTCCCTGGGCACTGCAGGAGCCTCAGCTCCATCTCCCAGGGCACTGCAGGAGCCTCAGCTCCATCTCCCAGGGCACTGCAGGAGCTCAGCTCCATCTCCCAGCAGCCCTGCCTGGGCTGAGAACACCTCTGGGGACTCTGCCACCACAGCTGGGGTACCTGGGCTCCAGGGCTGCTTTCCTGTTTCCTACTGGGCAATGCTGAGAACAAAATAATCCACAAAGAAAACTCATCACTGACCTCGCTGGAACACAAAAACATGAAGCAATTTTTTATCTCTTTGCAATCAATGTGCAGAATCTGTGCCTGGAACAGTAAATAGTGATGTGGACAGACAGAGGGTGGTTCCCAGTGCCTGCCCCAATGGTGGGGAAAGGGCAGCAGGGAAGAGCTGTGCAGCTGCAGGGCTGGCAGTGGAGGGAGGAGGAGGAGGCTGCAGAACCATTTTTACTCCATCTCCTTTCAAGGTGCCTTCAACTTCACCAAAATGTCCTCATAATTTAAATTTTGTTTCCAAAAAATCAGCTTGTTAATAGATGTTGAGTTTGTTTTGATGCCTTTATAAATTATTGTAATATTGCTGAAAAATATGCATCAGGTGTGGTTTTTTACCCTTTCTTTCCATGTAGTGACTAATGCCCCCAGAACAGGTCACCTCAGCAGGACTGCTGCAAAAAGTGACCCTGTGGCAGCAAACTGTAATTGTCTTTGCTTCTCCCAGGACAGGAGCTGGGCTGTCCTGAAATGCCCTGTGCCTGGGAAAAATCCCTCAAAAAACAGAAAACCCCACATCCCAACACCACTAAACCTGCAGCAGCTTCCTGCTGCCAAGTACAGATTATTTCCAACACCCACCTTTACATTTCCCTGATAGTAAAGGCCAACATTTTATCTCCATTTAATAAAAAGAAACCAATTTAACACTACTTACCTCAAATTCACGGCTGCTCCTGGCCCCAAAGCCTGGAATATTCTGTGACCTGGGTCCAGCACATTCAAATAACACAGGAGGAGGGGCAGCCCTGACTGAGTCCATGCAGGATTCCCATCCCAGTCCCACAGCCCCACCTGGGTACAGGGATCTGATCACCAACAACTCTGCAGGAGCTCTGGCACAGGGTGTGAAGGGCACCAGGGACACCTGAG